AGATAATAAATAACATCCCCCCTCTTTTTTGTTCCCAAACCCATTATGTTGTTGGTATTTTTACTTTTACAGAAAGGTGAATTGGAAGCTTCATAGTATAGCTGGCATCTTCTCAGGAAAACTATGAGGAAAATTACGTTGTTTTCACAACTGGTATAAACTGAATACAGTGCTGCCCCACAAGACGAATGCCTCGCAAGACGAAAAACCCGCTAGACGAAAGGGTTTTCCGTTTCTGAGTTGCTTCGCAAGACGATTTTCCCTATGGGCTTGCTTCGCAAGACGAAACGTCTTGCTAGTCTTGCGTTTTTTCTCTCGCTCCCCCCCCTTTTTCTAAGCCGCTAAGCCGCTAATAGCCTTTTAGCAGCTTAGCCGCTAATCCTTTAATAGCCGCTAAGCCGCTAATAGCGCTAATCCGCTTAGCCGTTAATAGGGTTGCTTCGCAAGACGAAGAGAATCGCGGAACAGATTCTTTTTGTCTTGTGAGGCACCACTGTATTTAATGTGAAGCTTATGCCAGGCCAATGAGAAGCCCAAATCCTGCAACGTTGGACATGTAAATCTTATAGGTAAACACTTTGATATTCATTGTTCATAGTGATAAAGTACCATTCTCTTCTGTGCATGTTGTTTTGCATCTGTATTTCTGGGGCACACACACTTTTCTCTTTTGCGGCCATATTTATTTCTATCTTGCTGAGGTAATTAAATACAAGTAAGTGTAAATTGACATGGGCTGAAGTATATCCTAACTCCGTTAGCATTCAGGCGTGATGACTGTGGAGTTTATTTTTATTTATTTTATTAAATTTCTATACAGCCATCCATCCAAGGATCACAGGGTGTTTTACAATATTAAAACACAAAAATAAATAGCATATTAACAAACAATAGCAATAACCCCCTCCCCAGTTGCTATCAGTTCACAGTCATTTTGAGACATCATGACTTCAGTGGCCACCCCCTCATGTCCTCCTTAACTCTGGGAAGACAGAAGTACAGAGGAAGCTCCCTGCCTGTGCATGAAAGACTTAAAAGCAGAGATGGGGGAGAAATTTGTTTCAGTTAGCATTTAAATTTGAATCTACCTAATTCACACTAAACAAAAAAATAATAATCACAAACTGATGTGGAGAACTGAATAATGGAAAAATGAAAAACTGGGAAAAACCAAGGGTGGTGCTCCAGTAACTTTTACTCAAAGTAGGCCCATTAAAATTACTGGATCTGACTCGGTCATATTCATTAATTTCATTGTGTCTGCTCAGAGTATCAGTTAGTGGAGTCCCATCCGAAAACTGAAAGAGGTTCATGAAGCTTGCAGTCCATGAAGGATAGGGAAGTGTGAAATGGCACAACCAAACCTTTGCTGTCATGTAAAATGGACCCTGAAAGAGAACGGCATTTCTTCACAATAACCACTAACTAGGAATGGAGGAGAATATCTAATTCACACTTCCCCCAAACAATACACAGACTGAAACATATCTATCCTTCAAAATTTGCACATCTCTGATTTTTGTGACACAGTTCTCCAACCAAGTTGTGTGTATGAAAATGCATATATTAGTTTGTTTAATTAAAAAATGCAAACTAATGATGAACTGAAGACTGGGGGGAAAATATATGAGAAGCTGAAATTAAGAGACTTGACCATCTCTACTACCAACCCATAATCCTTCCCCTCAAATAAGCAGAAAAGCAGAGACTATTTTCAAAATAACTATGCACCAAACACTTGGTAACAGATCTTCTTCACAAGCCATTCTTCATAAATTCCACAAATTCTTTTCCTCAGCTGAGAAGGTCTGAGTTTCAGGTATGCAGCGCTGGGTCATCTGCAGGAAAGGAACCCTCAGTGAACTTTCCTGGAATAACCTCAAGCTGAGATGTAGAAGGAAAGCACAGAGTCGGCTCAAGCTATTAAATATATTCTAAAACCTTTAGAAGATGATTGAGAAGGAGATATGAATATTTCAGCGTTAACACCTTAAGTAACACTAATCGTTAGAATTAAAAAGGTCATGCCAGAAGAAAATTAATGCTCAAAAATAGGCCAGTGTGCCAATGACAATATGTTGCTTATTACTGAGTTTTTGTTGCTCTTGCTGCTGCCTTTTCCCCTGTGGTGAACAGACAAGTCTCATGGTAATGTATCAGAATAGCACGGGAATGGAAATAGCAATCTAGAAAGGATCTCTGATCTGCAGGCGTCCACATGAGTGTAATTTTGAGGGATCCTTGAACACAGTTCTGCCTCCCCCAGCCACATATAAGAGGGTACCTGAGCTCAAACTGGAAAAAGCAACAAATGCCAAGGAACTTGTAGGAAGCTACATTGGACTTAAGGCATTTGCGCAGCAGGACTGTGGCTGAGAGCACATCCTTTGAATTAGGCTCCAGCTTCAGTCCCTGGCATCTTCCATTGAAAGTTTTAGCTCCCCAAAGGAACCCTCACCACAAAGGATTAAGCAGGCAAAGAAACAAATAGTAGAAAAAAAGTACTATATCTACAACGTAATGGATTAAGGAAAGAGAAACTGGGAAAGGAGGAAAAAAACATGTAGAAACAGGGGGTGATATGCAATGATATTATGCTTGGAGCAGACCCAGGGGGAACCAATGGCTGCTTTTTTGTATTGCTGTGTTTTGAGATTTTTATTGCTGTTTCTAACCGATTTCAGTGTAAATCAATCTGGGTTGTTTTTTTAAGAAACGCAACTAAACAACAACAACAACAACAGTGATGATGGCTACATTCTACTTCTCCAGTCTAAAGCAGTGTGCCTTTGCATACCAGTTGTTGTAAATCACAGTCCCTTGGTCTGATCCAGCAGGGCTCATTTTTGTCCTTGTGGACTTAAGGAAATTAAATCCATTTATTTCATGGGGTCTACTCTGAGTACGACTGAGCAGGATATAACTCGGGGAAGTGTGCAGTAGCTAAAAGGTAGAGAACATTTGTGTGATATTGTGCTGAAGCTGCCCTTGCTGGCAAATTGATCCAGAAGAAGTGACTTCTGAGCCCAGGTCAGGAATTCTACATTAGAATAGTAATAAAAAAAAATCTGTTGCAGCTGATGTTTTAAGTTTCAGGTGTTCTTGAAAAATTCAAGGATTTGAGGAAGGAAGACAGCACCTTCTCAGTAAAAGGCAGAGAATCTCAGAATCAGTGCCAGGGTCATGCCAGACCTATGAAGCCTCTTTCTTGTTGCATATCACAACTTCAATTCCACTATGTTTTGTTTCATTTATTTTTAGATTGGGGTATCTGCTGCGCTCTTGCCTTGGAGTTTTCAAAGCATGTTCTACAAGCAACTGGCAAAACTGTGTTACCGCTCAACTCATATAGGGAACATAGCAAATAGGGATGCTTGATAAGTAAGGGGGAAGCAAACTTGGACTGTGAAGAGCTACCAGAATTCAAAAATATGAAAACATGCATGCAGAAGAATGTGTTAATCGTATTGTATATTTCACAAAACTATGTATTTTAGCGAACTTATATGCAGACAGTTCGTAACAATCTGCTCTGTAGCAACAGAATTTGACTTGAAAACACAGACAGAAGAGAAAGATGGAAATCTGTCCACCCTTAATGGCAAACACATTTTACTGAAATTAAGTCGTAAGAGTTCAGATGAAGGCATGCTTGCAGTAAGCCCTCAAAACTGAAAGTGCAGTTGCCTCTTTTCCAAAATTGACAGTCCGACTGACTTGTGAATTTGAGGCTTGTGTTTTGCAGAGCTTTTCCAATTTGGCTCTGTTTTTGTAGCTATTTGGGAAATTTAAATAATTGTTCTGAGTAGCTAAGCAAGCTTTTTTGGAGTACGGAACATTTTCAGCCGCCCCTAGAATTGCACCTTCCTCTTTCACCAAAGGGGTTGCCTTGCTGATCTGACTCTGTGGACAGGTCTGGTATTAATTTCATATTGCTTGGAACAGATGGACATATAGTCCAAAAATGATTGGAAACAATCGTTGGTGGTGAAAGTGGATAGGTTCAAATCTGAATGCTTAAGACACTCCTTGCATGCATGAATTTTCTGTCCAAGCGAAGTTTTCAGAGCTCAGATTTCATTTGGAATTGTCTGGAAGCAAATGTCCACGATATGGGACACTGAAACATCTAGGTTGCAATGCTAGATGCTGAAAGCTACCGTACTTTGATGCTGATAGATGCTGATAGCTACTTTGATGTTAGGAATGATGCTTAGTCACTTAACTATCAAACAAGTGCTTGCACCAGAGATATCTTTATTCCCATCTAGCACTGTCACATGTCACATGAACATAGTTTGCTATCTACTAAAATGCAACACGGCCTGGTATTTATGCAACCTGGAAACAACGCTGAATTGTCATTAACAGTGCATTTTTCCTCTGTGGAGCCACATTATTTAGAAGAGTTTAAGTGAGTTTGTGATTCTCTCCCCTGCCTTTCCAACCACTAAAACAAAAAATAGATAATAGTTTGACTTTGTTTTATTCTATCAGTTTGGAGACAACAGCTCTGTTACTTGTGAAAATTTAGCCACGTTAGTCCAGTGACCAGGCCTTGACTTTTTATTTATTTATTTTAAGCATTGCAGCATAAATGCATATGCAAAATAAATGCATTCACAGTAAGGCCTCCTGGCATTTTCCTCTACGTTTTCTCAGGAGCTGTATGCTGTTACTGCCAGTGAGCTTTGGAGGGGGGAAATGGTCTTCTGTGTTGTTTTATAGTCCTCTTGCATTAGTCAGTTCTTCTAATAAATCAGATACAAGTTGTGACACGTTGCTAATTCGATCACTAATAACCTGCTCAAATTGCAAATCTATGTCAGCAGGTTGGTGTTGATTAAGTTGTAGTCCTCACTAACATATTGTTTTAAATGACTGATAATTTTTATTTGCTGCTGCGATAGGCTGGCTGGTCTATTCTCTCTCTCTCTCTCTCTCTCTCTCTCTCTCTCTCTCTCTCTCTCTCTCTCTCTTGTAAGCTTAGAAATTACACAAATGCCCCAGAGGTGGTCTGCTGTAGGCCTTTCATTTTCTGTGTTGTTGCAAATAGAGCCGGTAGCCACTAGAGGGGAGGAGACTGCTGGCTTTCCCCAAGCGTTTCCACCGTAGAACATGAAGGTGAAGAAGCTGTCACAGAACCGGTTGCCCAAGAAAAAGCTTTTAAAAGATGGTGGGATGAAGGTTAGTACAGAAAAAAAGGTGTTTTTTTCCTTAACGTGTGCAGTTATTCCTTTCTCTTAACATAGGATCTTTTAAAATATCTCCTAACCTAGTGAAGCAACATCTCCAGTCATGAAAAATGCTCTCTGCGAGAAAATGCTTTAAATATAGAAAGAGATATTTCGATGCGTCCATGTTTGTTTGTTTCTTCGCACATATAAAAGATTAAACTGAAGAGTTGCTTAACAGGCTGTAATGTTTGGAATTTGATAGGAAATGAGAACTCTTTCCCAACTGTTCAGTTATAGCCTCACTTCCCTTCACCCAGAGGAGGCGGGGGGGGGAGAGTTTTGAAGCTGTGTAGAAGTAATAACTACTTCAGCCTGGTGAAAACTTCACTGCCTTTCTCAGGATCCTTATTAATCTTCTACCCTGTGATACACAAGACCTCTCTAATGCAGTACTCTTAATTTTGTCTTTGCCTCATGCTTATAGATAATTGATCGGCGGTTTGACCTTTTATGTGTTTATTTGTGAAAAAGAAGAATGCTATTCGTCGCATTGTTAAAGAGCTATAATGTAGAACTGTGGCTTGTTACATTTACTCTCCTGAGTGTAATTGCACTAAGATCATTCAGTTTCCATTTGGAAAGCCAGTGGCAATTACTGGAATACAATGTATCATGCATTTGCTCACTGGATATAAAACGTATATACTAATTCGCAATAAAATGTAACAGCTGTCAGTGCATTTTCTGCTCTGTTACTTCAATAAATTGGAACTCTGACTAGAAAATGGGAATATTGCATTTTTACACACTCCGTAATGTGTTTGCTTTTTGCAAATACAATTTATTTTTTTCTTGGAATGAAGAGGGGGGGAAACCAAACACCCCACGTAGCTTTGTTATTACTGCTAGTGGATAAATATTCTTATATCAGAATGAATTACATATAGAATCTGTAAAGAAGTGATAATATTTCCTGTATTTTATTGCACCCTGTCTCCAGTAAACAATATGCACTTAACCCACTTCTGTCATATGTTAGGTTTATCTTGTTTATATTGTAGTGGCAGAGTGTGTCTGTATGGGGGGGTGGTATTTTACCATACTTTCACAGGTGTTGTGAATAGCTAGTTACCATTTATTACATGATGCCATTATGTGTGAGTGCACACTTAATATGTACAATTCTTTAATGAAATAAAATCGTTCAGGACTTCTCTCTCAGTGTGTGTATATGTGTGTGTGTACATGCATTGCCACACATATATGTATATGCAAATCCTTCTGCAAGCTAGTTAACGAGAATTCTTGATACTCTAAAAAAAAAAAGGACTCTTGAGTTTTGTTTAAAATAAAATTCCTGCACATTTGTGTGATTTTGTTACTGGAGGTCAGACTTTTCACAGATAATTAGCCTTTTACACACTGTGAAATCAACCTGCATTGGTTTATTTGGCTAGACTCTTTGCTTCTGTTCTTTATTTCCCAGAAGGTTAACATGCTGAAAATCTAGCTGCAAGCTCAGAGTACTGTCTCTTTGTGTTGTTAATTATCCCGTTGCATAATTATTAATATCAGGAGCAGGAAGAGGAAACAAGTATACCAAATAGTCGTGAATGCTAGTGTTCTGGCAGGAAGCAAGCCTTGCATTAATAAAATGTGCCTCTGCCAATATCAGAGAAGATAGGGAGTGTTCCTTGTTAAGGATCATTTATTAACTGAGATCATCTTTTAGTTCGCCTTGGGGTAATGACTAATGTCAATGGCAAATTTCACAGTTGTCTAGAGAAATGAATTAAATTTGTAATAAAAAGCCCTTCGGCTTGTAGTACATGTTCATTTATTGGAGTAGTTGAACTAGGAGAACTGTAAGGCAACCGAGAACATCGGCTTAATTTTCCTTACATATAATAGTGACCTTTCGCTCTGTGTTGGGAAAAGTTGCCTATTATAGGCGGGCGAGTTAAATGAGAAGTTCTCTCAAATGCAAGATCAACTAAGTAACTGTGGTTACGTTAAACAACCCTTGAGCTTGAGAGATTTTTTTTTTTTTTTTTTGGCAGAGACAAGATCCTCCTCTGTGTACATTTCTTCTCCTTTTTAAGCCTTTGCTGAGGTGGTTTTGAGATTTGGCCAGGCCTAGGAAGATCCCAGAGGCACGTAGGAAAAAGTTGCCAGTATTAATTAGCTATCCTTTGCCCTGTGGTATCTCCTTCTCTCTGTCTCTGTCTCTTTCTCTCATAGATTCTATGTTACAGCATAGCTGAGGGTTGAAACCTTTACTGCCTCACAATAATTTATACCAAAAGGCTATTTGATTGACTGGAAGCTTACTTCTGAGTAGACATGTATAGGAATGCATTGTAAATGAAGACATTACATTCATCCTGCGTAACAAGATTTAAGGTTGTGAGATTGCGAGTGATGCCTGACACACTTTCCTGGAATCACATGACTGCAAAGGGAACTTAGACTTATCCTTTTAAGTACATATAGAAAATCTATTGATTCCCCCCCCCCCCCAAAAAAAAAAATAATGATAGGAAGGAATTTATTTGTAGGAATGTCAACCCTCAGAAAGATTATGGTCACAATGATTTGCTATGATCAAGATCCAAGCCATCTTTATATGTATTTTGGTAACTTTATAAAAAGCTTGAAAATACAATCCGAAGTATCACCTGAAGAATGTGAAGCACCAGTTGAGTCTATTAATTTATTTAACTCGAGTGACACGAAATAAAAGTGAATGGAAATTGGTAAGTGGTTTTTTTTTACAAGAAAAATGCATTTCTATAATGCTACAGTGATGCAGAAAGATCATATTTATTATCTATGCAAGTATATTCATTGATTTTCCCCACCCCATCTTTCTATAATATCCAGATCATTTATGAAAGATGTTGGACCCCACTTGATTTTGCACTTTTCTGAAGACATGAAATAACATTAGTTTTTCCACATTTAATGAGACCCAAAAGAGTCTCAAGTTTTGCACCCAGTTTCTTAAGCCAAAGATTAAATAAAGCAAAATAGGCTGCACAAAGAAGGAAGGGTTTGCACAGATAATGTCTACAAATAAATTGAATGTTTTGCTTACATTAAGTTGCAGTGACTTTTCTGCAAGGAATTGGTTTGCTGTGATCAAATCAGAAAGGGGTCACCTGATATATATATATATATATATATATATATATATAGTCCATCTTGTGATTCATGTACTTACTAGATTTTCAAAAACAACTTTTAAAATGAATGTTAATGGTTTTCTTGCAGACCTAACGGTTTACAGAAGACTAATCTTTCACAGGATAAAGTTCATTGTTAACATAACTTACCTTTAAAAGAAAACACAAGGAAAATTTTACTTTTCTGAATCATTGGGGGGACTTTTAGAATTGAGCACCTGAAGAGAAATAGGCTCGTGTGTTTAAAAAGAACAGAAAATATTTGGTGCTATGAAAGGGTCATATATCTATACCTTTATGAGACTTGGCAACAGTCTCACAGGAAAAATGAAAACATATTCGGATGCCAACCTGGGTATGCTTACAGAGCAATAATTTCCAGTGGCCTCAACAGGATGTACCTGCATGTCATTCCTTAAGCTTAGAGGGTCACTGCATTATAAGCCTCTAAAACGAAACCCAAACTGGATTAATGGTCCACATGATCATTAATATTTAATTCAAAAATTTCTTCTAATGTATTCCATGTTTGACTAACCAGAAATGCATTCTGAGTACTTCCCCTCCCCCATTCTTTCCAGAATGGAAATCCCAAACGCTCTCCTTTCAGAATGAATTCTCATAAATTTCCATCCTCAGAAGTGGTGAATTTACTACACTTGAGACTCACATCCTTGTGTTGCCTAAAACAGAGGATGCTCTTAAAAATATGTATGAGATGATGTAGTTTTTACAATATTGCCCAATTTTGCAAAACACAAAAACCAAAATCCATCACAGCATCATTCACTGAAAATAAATCTTTTGTTCTTTCTGGATTTTAAAATAAGCCTCCATATGTGTCTTCAAGAATATATGTCAGTATGTCTGACAGGGATGTGAGCTTTTTCGTTTACTTTTTTAACAGACGGAAAGCATACGTACAGCCAATGCTTCCTTTCCCCAACTCTCTCTGGTAGTTGTGTATCTGTTCCACTGTCCCTCAACACGTTTGTGTCTGGATCCTGTTTGTCTAAATAAACTTATTTCCTGGCGTATAGTTTTTAGCCTTAGAGCCCTCTTCTTTTTTCTTCTTTTTTGCAAGCCCTGAAATGCTTTATTTGAGGGGGTGGAGGGGGAAAATAAAGCTGGCAAATGCATTTGATCGACATGCATGTGGCACACAATTAATATTAATTTTATGGCATGCAGAAGGCATAATCAAGAGGCTATAAGCATGCTGAAACTTCTTGCAGTACAAGACCAGTAATCTGCTGAAGTTCTTAGTTCTGTTACATCATCTTAAATTCAGTGCAAGTTGTGAGTAGTGGTACCTAACACCTGTCATTCATCTGTTTATCTGAGTCATATATCGATTTTGCTGATAGCCAGTTTTGAGCGATGCCATAGTGCAGTCCTCAGAAAATGTTGAGTTCATATTTTATTTCAGCGGGTGTAACTCTATTCCTTTTTGCATCAATGGAAAAAAATTATATTGATTTCAAACAAGCAAGAATCTGAGTTGCAGCTCTTTTGTATTATGGAATGGTAGATATCATTTAAGGGATCTAAAGAACCTGGAAGACCATTAGGCAGACACTGAGTCTAAGTGGGCCCGTTAGATCATCGTTTTCTCCTCTCGATCTGGGTGAAATTGTAACTGACAGCGTAGACTTGAATACTTTGTCCTTTCCCATTTTTACTGTCATTTGTTGATGTCTGAAAAATCTGGCCATGAAAGCAAAATTGGTCATTTGTATTGTGGCAACACCATGGTCAAAATGAGCTTTCACCTCTCCTCCATCTCCCAATTTTCACACACTTTTATAGATAAAAATGCCATGCA